ACATATTTTACATGTATGTAAGGCTTTTAAAGTCTCAGTTGTTGCAAGTGTGTCAGCTGAGGTTTGAGCAACCATCAGAATCAAAGAAGTTGGACCCCAGGTTTCCAAAGTGTTCCCAGTCAGGTTTGTGGAGCCAGATGAAGTTTTATGACATCCAGCATTTTACACGAGAGACATAAGATTTGAGATTTTGTTACTACCTATCAGCAAAATCAGCTCTGTATTTACGGAGCATCACCCATATATGAACACTTACTGCCGTCGGTATTCAGAGGTCACCAACTTTCAGCAGAGTCAGTCGCTACAGACTTCCAAACTTTGCGTGGCCTTCAGATTAACTCGAGAACGGTGAAGCTTCATGGAATGGGCTTCCAAGCTTCATCCAAACCTTACATCGCCAAGCACAATGCAAAGCGCCATATGCTGTGGTGGAAAGCACGCCCCCACTGGACAGGTTCTCTGGAGTGAGAAATCACCATCTGGCAGAGTGTGGGTTTGGTGATTGCCAGGAGAACAGTACTTGTCTGACTGCACTGTGTTTGCTGGGGGGGGGGGATTATTGTGTGGGATAGTTTTTCAGTAGTTGGGCTTGACCTCTAAGTTCCAGGGAAAAGAACTCTTAATGCTTCACCATACCAAGACTTTTTTGTGCTCCCAACTTTGTGGGAACACCAGTGCACAAAGTCCATAAAGACATGAATGCATTTCTGGAAGAACGGTCAGAAATTCCCATTAACACACTCCTAAATTGTGGAAAGCCTTCCCAGAAAAGTTGACGCTGTTATAGCTGCAAAGGGTGGGCCGACATCACATTAAACCCTGTGGATTAAGAATGGGATGTCGCTCAGCTTCATATGCGTGTGAAGGCAGACGAGAGAATACTTTTGGCAGTGTAGTGTGTATGAGGTCGAAACGGGGAAGATCTCGCGAAAGGGGGACTGGAGAAGAGGAGAACTGTCCCATTGCAGTAGAAAATGATCAGGCAGGAGCTGTAATGCTTGATGCCAAGCTTCTATAAGGACATCGATGTCGCCTGTATTAAATCTGAAACGCACATCCAGAAGATTTAGAATAGAAAATGTGTATGGCGTATATTTATACAATCCTGCATTTTACATGTTTGCAGTGGGGCTGTATAAGTTGTCATTATTATGAATTCCTTCAAACTTTGGTAAAAGTCATTAGATATCTGTGGAATTACTCTTTGTGAGCACTTTTGTAATGCTGCATGCAGACTCAGTAACCGAACCCCCTCTTTTGCTTGTACCTGTTACTGTAGATATCCGGGAGACAGCTTTTGTTTATGCCATCACAGCCGCTGGTGTGACCCACTCTGTGACGCAGGCCTGCAGTATGGGAGACCTCCTGCAGTGCGGCTGTGAGGCCACCAGGAACAGACCGCCTCCAAAGCCGTCCTCCTCTGGGGACGGGGTCAAGTGGGAGTGGGGGGGCTGCGGAGATGATGTGGAGTTTGGTTATGAAAAGTCAAAGCAGTTTATGGATGCCAAGAGGAGGAAAGGCAAGAGTGACATCAGGACGCTCGTCGACCTGCACAATAACGAAGCTGGCAGACTGGTAAGCAGTTTCACAAAGTTTCTGTATCCTGTTCAAATGTAGTAAAAATGCATGTTTCACCTGCTGATAAAGTTCGACAAAGGTGTCGGCTGTCCATTGGAATGCTTCTTTCCATTCCACTAACACGCGAAAAGAGAAAGCCGCGGCCTCCAGCCATATTTGTGTCGTGCCGTAAGCTGATATTCTAACAAGAATCGGGTTTCTGAAACAAAAAAGACAAGAACGTGCCCGGCGCTTTGTTTTTGAGCCTCGGAGGCAGCCTTTCTACTGCCATTGTAGAAGTTAAAAGTTCCTCTGTGTTGTGAATTACAACCATGACGGTCTTAACGCGCTACTGGAAGATGAAGGAGCAAGTTTAGTTTGGTGTTTGTTTATAAGAAGAACGCTGGCAAATCTTCCAGATCACATTTGCTTGTGCAGCGTTGTCGCTGTTTGAGTTCGTTGCAGAATTGTTAAAAGATGCACAAGCAACACCGAATTGTAAAGTTCACTTTAGTTGGGGTCAGCGGCAGGTAGAGAGGAAGAGAGGAGGGTTTTTGGGATGCAGTCCAATTGTAGCATTAGTGAACAAACTGTTTGAACATAGGAAGAAACTTGCACACAAATTCCCAGAGGTTGAGAAATAAGCGTGCTGCGATGCGCCCAAATGTCTGTTTATGTGCATGAATGCATGTCTACTTTTATACACATTTGTGTGTGTGTGTGTGCGTGTGTGTGTGATGGGTTAATTATGTGCATTATAAGTGAATGATCTGTTGTCAAGGCTTGTTAGATGTAGGAAGGCCAGAGGCAACGTGGAGGGAGAGGGGGGCTGGGGAGTTAAATTCCTTCTGAATAGCGTCTGCTTTTATCTTACCTATCTATCAGTGTGTGTGTGTGTGTGTGTGATCCAGGGCCTTTGTCTGTCATATATCATGAAAACACAATAATAAATTCTTCTTTGGCGAATTAGTCATTTGTCATAAGCAGCTCGGCTTCACTTCAGGGTTAAGTTAACTGTTTTTGTCCTTCTTTCTGCTTGATAAACCCTCTCCTCTCTTTTTTCACCTGTCTGCCCTCTTTCACCTCCCTTTTCCCCCCGTTAGGCAGTAAAGCTCTACATGAGGACTGAGTGCAAATGCCACGGACTGTCAGGCTCGTGCACGCTGCGCACGTGCTGGAAAAAGATGCCGCATTTCCGTGAAGTGGGCGACCGCCTGCTGGAGCGATTCAACGGCGCCTCGAAGGTGATGGGCGGCAATGACGGGAAGACCCTGATCCCTGTGGGCCAGAATATCAAACCTCCGGACAAGCAGGATCTGATCTACTCGGACGAGTCTCCGGATTTCTGCCTCGCAAATCGAAAAACAGGTTCGCTGGGAACAAAGGGGCGCATGTGCAACAGCACGGCCATGGACATCAGCGGCTGTGATTTGTTGTGCTGCGAGCGAGGCTTCCGGGAGGAGACGGTGGTGTTTGAGGAGAACTGCTTATGCCGTTTCCACTGGTGTTGTGTCGTCCAATGCAAAAAGTGCATGGTTCGAAAAGAGCTTAGTCTCTGTCACTGATGAACTAAAGTTTAAAGTAGTCAAATTACTTTGTTAATTACAACTACTTTTGTTACTTTTTGAAGTTCTTGCTTTAGTTTGGATAGCGTGAAAGATGCAGAGGATCTCAAGTTTCATGGTTATCAAGCTCAGTCAGAAGTTGAAACAATGGAAACAATGGAAACAATGCCATATCCTCCTTCCACCTGCAGTTCAACAACATTGCTTAATAGGAGACGTTGCTTTTATTCCACGATATTCTGCAGGGTAGTAAGAAGATTAAGGACCTCACTATGGCCCATATTCCATCCCAGTGCTCATAGACTTACTGTTATCTAACGGTGTAATGCTCATAGACTTGACATAAAAGATGGACGTAGCCTCCGGATCTAAAGAGTGAAGTAAATGCAAAAGTGCCTTAAACCTGCTTTAATTCCAAAACCCAGCCGGGAGCAACTCCCCAATATGTAATGACTTTATAGCCTTGGTTGCTGTTTTCAAGCCTTCTTCAATCAGTTTGTAAACGATGGGCTCATTTCAGGTAAAACTGACAGTAAAGCAGGACGTGACAAGTCACCCCCATATGAACATACCAATGGGGAATGTTTTGGTGGCTACACCCATCTTTCATATATATTCCGTCTTAACAAGTGTAATCATATTCTTGAGTTTGCATTTACCAAAAACTGTGTCTCAGTTATTGTGACTGCAGCGAATCAACATAGTGAGAAAACAAAACGATGCTGGTCTTGACCTGTTGTTCTGCTACTACATGAAAAGTGTAAAAAAGGGAAACTGTAAACCGTTGTTATAGTTGCAAAGATGCTGTTAACACCATGCTTTGCAGGTGCGGACTCGGCTTGCCAGCAGAGACTCTTATTTATATAAAGATATGATGACTACTTGCTTCCGTCTGTCTCTCAGAAGCACTTTGGATGCAGCAGCTGCCACGGACGTCCTCATCAGCCCGGCAATAAAACCTGCAGTCGGCTGTTTCTCCAAAATAGAAACCTTTTTTTTTCATGATATTTTTTTGTTATCAAAAAATGTATATGATGCATTTTGTTTATATATTATGATATACAGGGCTAATAATAATAATAATAATAAT